AGGTCGAGCCCCCTTCTCGAATTGAGAACTGGGTGTGTTGCTCCCTCAGCTAAATAACTGCTAGCTGTTCCACCATTGGAACATGCTGTAGGTTGAGCTCCCTCTCGATTGAGAGCTGGATGTTTGCTCCCTCAGCTACAGATATACTGCTAGCCACTCCAGCATTATAGCCGTAGACATAGGAAAGATGCGCTATTTCTATCTATAGGCTGCTCTTTCAGGGTGCCACGAGAACCCCTAGAATGGTATTTCTGAAATCCACATAGCTGGTAAGTGTGCACGTTATGCTTTGCCCACTTTTCTAAAATCCTGTACGGTAAGAGCTACGCGCAACAGCTTTGTGCTCTTTCTGAGTGGTTTAAAACCCCGGTTCCGCCTTGGGCACCACTCCTCCTATGTATCCTCTGGATACCTACTTTAACAGGGTGTTGCTACTAGGAATCTGTTGAGACCATTCCTTCAGCACATACAAAGAGAAACGTGCGGTAGCCCCTGTGTGACAGGCCAAGACTAGTATGATTCTAGGCTCTTGGTCGTATTCCCTTAAAGGAATCTATTCCTGATTCCAAGCCTTGAGCTCTACCCCGGGCCCAGGAGTTCTGGCCCTAACAGGTAAGTTTTTTTGGGGGTATGTAGCCTAGGCCTTTTGCCGTAGGGAATAATGTCACTGACAGCCGTCTAAACGTCCCAGGCTGACTCCCATAGCAATATGGTAGAGTTGGTACTTAGTACTCGCCATGGTTCTGGCATGCACTCCCCTCGGCATGGTGGCGTGGGTATACCATTCCCCATAGCGACCCCTAGAGGACGCAGTTCGAAGTTCCCATGAAAGGGAACGTCTCAGGTTACTTATGTAACCATGGTTCCCTGAGTAGGGAACGAGACACTGCGTCCTCTAGGTTTCTTGCCATGCTGCGGATGCAAGCTTCAGACGAAGAAGTGAATGATGTGTGCTCCCGGCGCCTATTTATACTATAGTCGCACCGGTAGTGACGTCATGGCTGTCGCCGGCCAACGAGTTGGTGTTTTTTCAATGTATGCTTCAGACACGGGTCACGATGAGGCGTTCCCCCATAGCGACCCCTAGAGGACGCAGTGTCTTGTTCCCTACTCAGGGAACCATGGTTACATAAGTAACCCGAGATGTTCTTTTCCGCCTTTTTATGTTTCAAATCTTTAACTGCCAAAGCCACCTTCAGTATTGATTTTCTAGTGCTCAACCATCCAACTACACAGACCGTCAACACACTATCAACAGGTAAATTATTAAAATGTTCAAATTGTAACTGGTTTCCAACTAATCAAGGGTTTTTCTCTTTTTAGTTAAACAGAACGTGCAAGTGTAAGCAGCTCTGTTCAGTTAAGGATACTTTGCTCCTCTTCTCTACAAAGTAACAGAGATATTGAATTTATTTTTTGCTTCTTTTGGCCTTCATAAGCATTGTTTTTACATAATCAAATTGAGGTGACACATTGTAACTCTAAACTCAATTGTGTAGGCCTATTTCAGATGGTTTCACATCCCACAACATCATGAGTGGAAGTGCCATTTAATTACAGCAAAAAATACACATATTAATGGATACCATAGAGGATTGTGTAGATATTTCAAGCCCGGTCTCATTAAAATGCATATAAATAGTACGCCAAATAAAAACAAAAACTCGTGGTATCGATACGCAAAAATTGACTTTTCGTTTTTATTTGGCGTACTATTTATACGCCCTTTCATGAGATCGGGTTCATATTTCACTGGAATGTGGCCTTCATTACATTTATTTCTATTTTGGGTTTTATGTAATGTATTTAGTCTTAGTTGTCATTTATTAATGTATTCATCTAATAACTGTTGATAGAGCAAAGACAGGCTACCTAATATGATAATGCTCATATAAATAATATAAAGTACTAACATACTAATTTTATTCAAATATATTATTTAAAAAGGTTATTTATAACACCATTAATGTCCTACATTGCACTTTCAAACATGGTTCTTTATTGAACCTTATAAAAATGGTTTTATTTAGCACCAAAAAGGGTTCTGCTATTGTTACGAGCCAAAGAACCCTAATTTGGTACAGTTTAGAACTATTTTCTTAAGAGTGTATAATTTAATCTAAGAAGACATTGCACAACACAAAATCAAATCTATGAAATATTTGAACATACCTTATCTTGGCTTGTAACAGCGATACTGTACATATCTCAGAGTCACAGTATCTGAGCTCCTTTCTTCTGACCTATTGGATCCTTTAAAAACACCTGAGGCTATGGGGTGTCACAGTGAGCTGGCAAAGTTCCAGAAACATTTTGCTACTCAGAAGGATCATGTTACCACCCATCTTTTAATCGTTTTCCTCTATCTGCAAGTGTTATGTTTCTGATGCCAGCTGGAACTTAAAAATAGGAATAAGCATCTTAAGATAACTGCTAACATTTCAGATGGTTCTGAATATAATGTCTTGAAGATCTGTGGCATTATAATAGTCTGGAAGCTGCCACCTCACCTTACCAACATTATTTGCATGACATGCAAAATACACGATGATGGTGCCAATGTGACCTTGTCAACACTTGAGTCGGACAGAGTTGAAAACAACAACGATCAAATAAAATTCTTTTTTAAAATTTAAAATCTAAAATAAAATTCTAAATGCAATAATGCATAATGACAGTATAAGTGCATTATTCTGTATAATAATTATATGTATATAATTAAATATATGACCCTGGACCACAGTCATAAGGGTCAATTTTTTTAATTAAGATTTATACATCATCTGACATTTGAAGTAATAAGCTTTCCATTGATGTATGGTTTGTTAGGATAGGACAATATTTGGCTGAGATACAACTATTTGAAAATCTGCTGTCCAAATGAAGTTCTTAGCAATGCATATTACTAATCAAAAATTCAGTTTTAATATATTTACGGTAGGAAATTTACAAAATATCTTCATGGAACATGATCTTTACCTAATATCCTAAAGATTTTTGGCATAAAAGAAAAATCTATAATTTTGACCCATACAATGTATTTATGGCTATTGCTACAAATATACCCGTGCTACTTATGACTGGTTTTGTGCTCCAGGGTCAGATATAACTAAATATAAAAAAATAACAGATTAATTTAAAAATATACATTTATAAATAAATATTTACTGTATGAGCTATACAAACAAATAGCATTTAATTTTTTTTGTCTTTATTTCACTGATTGTGTCTGCAATTGTCTAATAGTCTTTTATAAATAAAATCATGCAGGCTACCACTAATCTACTCCATTTTGATTTGTTTTATATGGGCCTCTTTACATCCTTCCAAATGTCTATTAGCTGCTGTGGGGATCGCATGATTGTCGTAATAACTCTGAGAAAATCTTCTCGATTATATTGTCCCAGATAGGCTCTAAACTGTGAAGGGTCTGGGGGAGATGAGGGTGCAACGCCCAACTGTTTCAGACAAGCACCCACATATGCGTCTTCTATGTTAAAGGCTTTTACTTCCTTGGAAGCATCAACAATTTTTTCTGAAAGGTCATTGGAAAAAACATATCCCATTCCCAGCAGGTACGTGGGGTATTTCGGTTCAGGGTACAATTCCTCTGCCACGTACCATTTAGAGTTTTTGTCTCTGATAACAGGCCGGTCCCACATCAAATGCCCTGTGATGTAGTTCTGTCCGGGTGTGTTGGGTGACAATAAGAGGCTCATCAGGTTCTCCAGGTTTATGTACATGTCAGAATCAACCTTCATAGCATAAGCTGCTTGAGGGCAACGAGTGGCCAACCAGTCCATGATCACCATGGTCTTTATGGTCAGATTGAAGTAGGAGTCCACAAAGTTGCTCTGCAGCAAATCTCTGCGTTGTCGACTCTCTTCCTCCAGCTGCTGTTGAGCTTCGGCTCCTCCAGTCAAACCCACCAAGAACAGAGTCAGCACTGCTTTTCCCTGCACTGAGCTCTCATTCCCCCATGTGCTGCGGATGGCGTTACGAGCCTCTACCTCATGGGGGGCCACAGGGACCATCAAGACCAGGAACAGATCCTGCTTGCATTTATCAGGTTCGTCCAGAATGAAATGATAGTTGCTTGGATGAGCCACATGATGATGCACCAAAATGTCTGTGGTTTGTGTAGGACTCTGTTGGACACTGTTGGGTGCTAAAAATATTGTTTGATTTTCACTGGCAGATAGGTACTCAGTCACCACATAATAGGAGCGTATCTGATTTAGCACTTTTTTATACAAGGTGTCAGGGAGCACAGCAGTCTTGAGAGGGAATTCAGAGACGTAAGTAATGGCAGTCAATAAGAACACTAATGTAAGTAGCAGAAAGAATCCTGTTTTAATGTGACACCTGTGTGGAGCTCTATCCGCACCTAAACTGCATAGAAGAGACAAAAAACAGTAAAGGTATTTAATAAAATCCAATAATACAATCTATTTGCTGACACAACAAATGTGGAATGAACAGTATCAAACTTAAAACAGTTCAATTTAAATTAAATATTAAACACACCCTATTTAGCCAACATAATCAAGTCGAAAACATGGTAGGGACTGTTAATCTTTTGTTTGTTTTAAATAAATCTCTTCATACATGAACCGAGCAAAGACTTTCAACGCTACATAGAGAGAGAAAGAGAGACCCTTTTAAAACGCTTTAGATTACAACCCACAATGTACTGCGCAAGCAAACAGAATTTACAGTGTAACTTTTTTGTAATTACAGTGTACCTATTCAGTTACCTCCGTGTAGGTATAAGGTAACAATATGCGAAGTTTGGGGAATAAAGGAGTAATAATCTGTAAAATTACAAATTATTTCTACTGTAAGTATTTTGAAACTAAGGGGTACCTATTCTAATATTACGGGGTATGTATGGCCTAACAATCTTATATTTGCAAGCGATTAAGCAAAAACATACACTGTGTACTTTTTTATAGCCTACACATATAAAACACGCTGGTAATTGTTTCAATCCAAACCCTCGGTTGAGACTGTTGGGTTAGGATTCTGGCTTGATTTGACCCAATTTGGGTTGATATCAGTAATAACCTGGTAATAACCCGACGTTGCTGGGTTATGAATGTGGAGAACGTGAATGAGAGCATGCAGCAAGTCACGTGAGTTCAAACGTGAACGGCTCTGTGTGCGACGAAATCCGTGACTGCGGTGCTTAAGACGGAACGTGTGGAAAATAGGAGAAAACTAATCGAAGCGCAGACAAGGGACAACTTTGAAACTGTCTGGAGTGTGTTCCTTTAAAACTGCAGCAGTGAATGTGGTGAGCGAGAACTTGAAACAGCTGTGTAGTGTCTGGACCAATCAAACACACAATATATATTTTGTTTTTATATTTAACAAATACTCTGTAACCCCCCTCAGTTAAAAAGCCATATGAGGACCCATGAACCCTTCCCCCCGGAATGCGTAACACCCCAGGAAGCCGAGCCGGCCCCTTGTTCTTGTTGCATGGCAACCAACGCTGATATCACTGGGTTTATTGGCCAAAAGAATGTAAAGCAGGGAAAATCCCTGCATGTCCCAGGACAAAGGCAGAATAGAAATGGACTGTGCTCTAATTAATTCATAGGAAAACCTTTCTTTGAATGAACACACACATTCTTCAGGCCATTGTGTATATTATTGCTGTTTTGTATTTTGTATCTTGTAGCGAATCAGCTCATGGGGAAATATGAATAATTAACC